TCATCAACCAGGTCTTTTTATATGTGGTTTGGTGCGGTTTTTAGAACCATTTTTATAAAACCGATTTATCTTTTTAAAACTGAATTATATTTGAATCGGTTCAATTTAAAACCGATTATTAACAAAAATTGGTTTTCATATAAACCAATTTTAAAATCGGTTTTTCTCAAAAACTAGTAATATCAAAGCAACTTTTTTCTATAATCATTTTATTACTTCAATCAATTTTTTTAGTAAGTGTGCATGGTTAAGCACTGTATATTCTGGTTTGATGATTGTCAACAAATAGTTCTAAATGGTTTTAATAAATACATGGTTTAAAATCAGTTTTTAATTTAAAATGAATTTTAAATTCTACTCTTGTATTACTCACACTGTAATATTCACGTAACATATAGACTCTGTATGTTACTCAACTCCGTTACATTTCACATGAATCTAATAAAAATGTAATATTCATAGAACATATAAACTGTATGTTATTCAACTTCGTTGCATTACACATCTAATAAAAAATGTATAAAAGTGATGCTCGATATTTAAATAATTTAATATATATATTTTTTTCTAAATCTAATATTTTCTCAAACCATAATTAATATTATTCTATTTTTTAAAATGTTAACTAACATTTTACACTCTTTTTCTTTGATATTTATCCCATTTAAAAAAAGGTTGCACGTTAATTTTATCTTTAATTATTCATTTTCTAATTGTACTATTTTCTTACAACTATCAATTATACTATTTAAATAATAGATAAATTATCTTTTTTATTTCTTAATTTTATTTTTAAGTTTAAATTGGTCTTTTAATTTTTTTTTGTCAGATTGGTCCCTTAACTATTTAAACCGTGTCATATTGGTCATTTTTATCTAATTAACGACGAATTTAACAACGAATTTTTGAAATTTTTTCGTCGCTAATTAGACGAAAAAGACTAATATATATGACATGTTTTAAAGAGTCAAGTGATCAATCTGACACAAAAAATAATTAAGAAACCAAATTGAATTTAATGGTATAGTTAAGAGACAAAATGATATTTAGCCTAAATACTGTTATATTTATTAATTTTAAGTTATTATTTTTAATTTTACATTTATGATATTAAAGAAATACCAAAAAAATCTTTAGTGCAATTTAGGCTGCAATATAGAATTTACTATGTTGTTAAGTTAGTTTAATTTAAAATTTATATAATATTGATAATATAAGTTTTAATTTTTAATTTTATTTATTATATTATAGTATAAATAATTTTAATAAAATTTATACAATGTTACAATTAATTCATCATGCAGTTTATAACAAAGATAATCCAAATTGTACTGGGCATCAATAAGGTGTAAGATTTTAAAATTAAATCAGGGTTGATTACAACACAAAGATTAATTGTCAATGTTTTCTTGAATAATACTGACTAATCTCTAGTCACCCAATAAAAATACAATTAAATAAATTGAGATACAAATTGTGTTTACAAAATACTTCTAAAAAATCAAAATACACAAATGAATTACAAGTATATCACACAAAAGATATTTAATAAAGAGTATAAACAAAAGTTCGTTGTGTGAGTGTTTCTTTTCTCTCAAATATATTTCACAAAGTGCACTATTCACGTATATGATAATTTCTTAGAGTGTAGCGTAGCACTTTTCAATTCTTCCAAGTCTTCTTTATATAGGAAATGAAGAGATCCGTTGGAGAGTAGAATTGAAATACCAAAATATAGTTATATTCTTGCATAACAGTTTGTGAAAATGGGAGACAGAATGGTACAATAGTACAGTCCTTAACCAACAAAATCACTACAGTGGAAGAAATATTTGATCTTGTACAGTGTACTATTTATATCACGTAAAACCTTTTGACCTTATCTTCAGTATTCATAGGCTTCTGATAGATAGGTCGTGAAGCATGCATAGGAGAAAAGTAAGAGTCTGGTTGAGAGAATCTTCGGAAACTTGGTCTTCAGAGTCTTGACCCAATTCATAAGAACCTGATTTTCATTTTTTAATGACACAGTTCATAGTTATTTTGAGTGCAGGACTTTATAGCATGCCAACTTCAGAAGCTTTAGAGTAATAAAACCTTAGATAATAAAAAATGTCAGAAGTGTTGAGTACATAATCCAGAACTTAATCAATTTGTAACCACACAACTCATAGTGCACTAACTTCAAAATATGATGACGTCACACGTTCTTTAATCAGAGTCAGAATTTGTATATAATATTTGCACACTAAACGAAATGATTAAGGTACATAATTGTTCTCTAAGAGTTTATGTATTGTTATCATCAAAATATAAGACTAGATACATAACCAAATCTTATTCTTACAATGATGAGGACTAAATCTACTAGCCTTAACAACAATGACAATAACTTTTACATATCAAGTGACCACATCTTGAAAGATTGAATATCAGTTCTTTAGAAAAGGAAATCAGTGTTTCAACACAAGATGTTCATCATTGATGGAGAAAAGATTTTTCTTGTGAAAGTTTGCAGGGATCAAAGGTTTATTCTCAAAGTGTCGCCACTGTCCCGTTATAGAACCACATATATGGATAAAACAGTGTAGAAGTGAACTGAATTTCCTATATGGTGGTACATATTCCCACCACGGCTACGCAGGGGTGGATTTGAAATGTTATCACTCCAAGCCCATGTCAGTGAGAGAATAAAAAACGTTGTGAGAATGAGATGGATTTGAATGATTAAAATGGTGTGTTTTCTCTCTTATATGTTGGGGGCGAAAAAACCATATGCGGGAGACGTGTTGTGCTATATTGACAGTCATTCAATTGATCTAGAAAATGGTGATGCATCAGAGGCTGAAATCACATGTCTCTAGCAAGAGCGAGGGTATACTTTTTCAACGTGCTTGCTTAATTAGCGCTCGACTCTAGGCCTTTCACTTTGGACCTTGAAGGAGGGTAAAATACATTTTTCATCTTAAAAGTAGTACCTTATTAAGACCAAGGATTTTCATTGTACTTTTGATGAGTGGATATCCAAATCTACCATGAGGATATGATACCTTTTTTTTTCATCTTGAAAGTAATATCTTGATAAAATCAAAGATTCCCGTTATATTTTTGATGAGCGAATGTCCAAACCCACCACATATTTGGATATGATGAAGTTTTATGGTGTAGAGAGATTTGATTGTTTTTAGCAACAAATTTTCCTTTCTGTTCACTTTTAGGTGTTGGCAGGTTTTGGTCTTCGTCTTAATGATGATATCCTCAAACTTCGTGTTTTAAATTTCTTTTTAGTTGTGGTTTTTATCACCGTTGTTTCATGTTGATTGATGGTTTAACCTCATTTTTATCTATTTTTGTTTGCATTTGTAAAGTATTTGTGGTGCTTTGTTAATCTCTTTCAACATTATGGGGTCTCTTTATTTATAGATATAACTTATTATTGAAAAAAAAGATAGATCAATAATTCAAACATAATGAAATTTCAAAATAAAATTTAAAACATGTTTCATATTAATAGCTTCTTTTTAAGTAGTTTAATGAGTGAAGTTAAATTTTTTTAAAGATGAACAAGTATGTCGTGAGTTTGAACTTGCGCTCATATATTTAAAATATAACTTATTTATTATTTAATTTACTAAAGGAAACTTAAAATTCTTAGTAAAACTTATTTGAATTTTTTTTATAATAACCATATATTAAATAATAAATACCAAAATAACAAGTATTTCAAAAAATTTTTTAAAATGGCTAACAATCCATTAGGCGTTCGCCATTTGAGTTGGCGAAAGAGAAGAAAATGAAAACTGAAAAAAGGAAATCGCCATGGCAATTGGCGAATGAGACCAAGTTAGGGTTTCCATTTTCCATCCATGATTCATGCAAGCATTCGCCAATTGCCATGGCGATTTCTTTTTTCCAGTTTTCATTTTCTTCTCTTTCGCCAACTCAAATGGCGAACGCCGGATGAATTGTTAGCCATTTTAAAATTTTTTTGAGATACTTATTATTTTGGTATTTATTATTTAATATATGGTTATTATAAAAAAAAATCACTTATTTGACATTAAATTTATAGAAATCAGCTCATCAAATTTTAGATATTTTTTTAATAATTTAAATCCAACTTTTTAATCAAATAAATATTGATTATATCAGATATAAATCGATCCCACTATGGATTCTATAGATAAATAGTAACATAGTAACAATATATTTCATTGATGATATTCTTTATCAACTAAATTAAGTTAAGGACTTTTTCTATACAAAGCAACTAAAGGGTTTAGTAATGAGTGAAAGAATTAATTAGGCATTATGTGGAATTGAAAAACCAAAACTGTGAAAATATTGGAATTTTACAAATCATCTGAAAATACGAACGATCACTTTAATTCTGCATCTCTAAATAGTTCGACCAGGTTAAACCCTAAACCCTAAATTTTAATTTTATAAATTTTTGTTTCTTCTGTTCATTTCTGTTTCAATCTTTCACTATCTCATCGTCTACACCAACAAGGTAACGTTTTTCTCTCCCTGTACCACAACATTTTTTTATTCATTTTACTAATTTTAGCTTAGTTTCTTATTTAATCACATAAATGGTTCCTTAGTGGCATGGCATTTTAAAAAAAATTAAGGTCCGAAAAAACAAATTTTTTTATAAAATATTTGAATAGATAATTAAATTGTTAGATTCCGAACAAAATATTACTATAAAAATTTTAAAAAGTAAAAAGTTATGTTAAAATACAATTAAAAAGTTAAAAATACATAAATGTGAATCTTTACCAAAAAGTTCAAAAAATCTTGCATAGCAATATAGTATCTCCTCCTAGATCCATGGAATTTTTAGGGTTAGTCGAGCAATTTGTTGTCCGCTTATCATCCATTCCTAAATACACAAGCAGAACTTGAAATTTTCGGGTGTTTAGTGACATTACAATTGATAATCAATGTACTTATAGAATTTGTTTTGTCTTCTTTTCAGCTAATATCAAATTTTGATGGGTGGAAGTTCTGTTCTTTCTGTTGATGATTGGGAGTTCTCTTCTTCACATGATGATGTTAAGACATTGGTTTTGCTTGGGCGTACTGGCAATGGCAAAAGTGCAACGGGTAACAGTATTCTTGGAAAAAAGGTTTTCAAGTCGAGGGCAAGCTCATCCGGTGTCACCATCTCGTGTGAAATGGATACAACTGTGATGAATGATGGACAGATAGTTAATGTTATCGACAGTCCAGGTACATACATGATAACTTATGCTTTGTATAAAGTATGGTTTGTTTGAGTTGTGGAGTGATAGTTGTGATTACTAATATTTCATTTTATTTTTTTTCGGCTAGTTCTTTGGAAACTTGGTTATATATCTTAAACGCCAAAAGTTTTGCAGGATTGTTTGATGTTTCTGCCAAATCTGAGTTTTTTGGGAAAGAAATAGTCAAGTGCATTAGTTTAGCTAAGGACGGGATTCATGCCATCATTCTAGTGTTGTCTGTTAAAACCCGCTTTAGTGTGGAAGAAGAAAATGCTGTGCGCAGCTTGCAGACATTGTTTGGAAGCAAAATTGTTGACTACATGATTGTGGTCTTTACCAATGGAGATGCTTTGGAAAATGATGAGCTGACACTCGACGGTTATTTAGGCTCCGAATGTCCAGAGTCTTTAAAGGTTTGTAATTAGTATTATAACTCTTGTGATGAATTGTTTCTATGGATTTCTTTTATAGAAAGCATTGTTTGGTGAAGCTGTTACCATGTTATTGTGTATTTGACATTAACATTAATGCAGGAACTTATTTTACTGTGTGATAATTGATGTGTGCTTTTCGATAACATTACAAAGGATGAAAAGAAACAATTTAAACAAGTTCATGAACTTCTCTCTTTGGTAAACATGGTAGTATCAAAGAATGGCGGTCAACCTTATATAGACGAGTTATTTATAGAACTCAAGGTAAATGTTTTGTGAATTTCTCGGTCTCAGTTTTCTTAACTCTTGTAAAAATATTCTGATTTCAGTGAACTCATTATATGGCTGCAGGAAGGAGATATAGAACTGCATAAACAACAAAGAGAGGCTACCTTGAAAGGGTTTTCAAAAGAAGATATATTAGAGTTTCGAAAGCAAATTACTGATATGGTACTACTTATGGTGTCGATATTTAACAAATCTTCATCGTTTCATCTTTCTTTTTTTGACGATCTTCTTAACTAACATTGTTTGCATTAGTAGATGTAACATGGCCTGAAAGAGTCTGAGAGGCATCTCGTATATCTTATAAGTCAGTTTGATATGGTTTTTTAGGTAGAATCGAAGTTGAAGGAAACAACTATAAGGCTGGAGCAACAATTGGCACAAGAACAAGAGGCAAGACTAAATGCTGAAAAGAAATCAAATGATGAAATTGAAAAACTTAGAAAAGATCTTGAACAAGCACATGCAGAACTAAGCAAGCGAGGAGGAAAACCTAGTTGTGTCATTCTATGACAGTATTATTTTGTCATGATTTTATGAATTATGAGATTAGAATTTTTTTTATTTATTTTTAAATTTGGGTTTAATGCCTTTAGTAATATTAAGGCGTAATGATTTAGTTTAATTTAATGTTTCACTGTTTTGTTAGTCTAATTGGTCAGTTCTGATAAAAAAAAATTTTGTTGTGCTTATGTGGCATAATAGAATGACAAAAGTCAAAAGAGTAAGTCAACCTTATAATTAGTTAAGGACAAAAAAAAATATTTTTAAATATATATATATATATATATATATATATATATATATATATATATATATATATATATATATATATATATATATATATATATATATATATATATATATATTTAATCAAATATTATTAAAGTGCTTTTAGCATAATTGTAAAAACTGGACCAGACTTAGCATAGTTGTAAAAACCGGATCGGACTGGCCGGTTGAACCGGAAATCGGGCTAGTAACCGGTCTGGTTCAATAATTGGATCGCTTTTTGAAGGTGAGATAATACTTAGAAGGGGGGGTTGAATAAGTATGAAGATTAAAACTTAGAAATAAAAACTCAAGTATTTTTATCCTGGTTCGTTGAACTCAACTACTCCAGTCCATCCTTCCTAGAGTGATTTGCCTTTCTCAATCAAGGACTTAATCCACTATTAAATCAACTGATTACAATAGTTAACACTTAGAACAACTGTTCAAAGTCTTCTCAAGAACTACTGATCTTAACTGGATCTTCTTAAGGATTACAATCAAATGTAAAATCAATACAAGTGTTTAAGATTGCTTCTATAAAGCTTTATCACAACTGTGATTTTTTTCACTTAACTATTTAGAAAAAAGAAATAAATTCTTAGAATGAATATGAAAGTATGAGAGCTTGAATGTTTTAATTTCTTTTCAATAATAACGTCAACTGAAGAATTTGGTGGAGTCTTGCTTTTATAGGCAAGTGATCCAAGGTGAGCTTCACGTTGAGAAGAGTGTCAAAAAGGTCTGAGCCTTTTTGTCTTCACATCAAGTGACCTTTCCTAGAAGAAGAAAGCACAGAAAAATCCTTTTTGTCTGTGTTCTTGTGTCTAGCATAAATAAGGAAAGAGACGTTTGGTTCACTCCAACGGATATAAACTTTGAATAATTCTTCTTCAGTTTTCAGCAAATTCATCAGAGTCTAATTGGGTCAGAGTCTTCTGATGATGATTAGAGTTTTGCTGAATCAGAGTCTTCTGCAGCAGGTGTGCTTTCAGTGTGTTTAAGATCAGAGCATATTTGAGACAGAACTTCAGTACTGGCAGCTTTAGTACTTTCAGAATCTTCTGTAGATACTATGCTTTGAAAAACTCTTCATACAAAATTCTTCTTTGCTTCAGATGCTTCTGACTTGCTTCAGGTTCTTCTGGAGCTTCTGCTTTAGATCCTTCTGGAGGCTACGCTCAAAATCTTTTGTTGGCAGCAATCAGAATCTTCTAATGAATGCATCTGGCACTTCAAAGTCTAGCTAATTTCTTGTGTTCAATTCTGATTTGCTTCTGGAGTGTTAATTCCTTTACTATCTGCAGTAAAAATTCTCAAGCAAATTTTAGAGTATATAATTCTTAAATACAAAATTTCATAATAGTTATCATCAAGACATAGAGATATTATTAAGAACCAATCAGTGTTCTAACAATCTCCCCCTTTTTGATGATGACAAAAACATCAAAATTTTTGTTTAATTGAAAATATTAAAATTATAACTCCCCCTGAGATGATGAATCTCCCCCTGAGTTAAATACAGATAAGGAATAGAAACTTCCTTTTTGTCTTCAGTAATTTTCAGAGTTAGATCTTGATTTTTCTTTTAACATTTGAAAGTCAGAATGTCTTGCAAATATCAGATTCAGAGTTTGATAATAGTCAAATGATCTGAGAGACTCAGAGTTCTTTTATAGAGTATACTTATCAAATGTTCTGAAATACTCAGATTAAATGTTAGATAGAATAGATATGTCTGAAGTTTCATTCTGGTGAAGTTAAATTAAACAGTTCAGATCTATATTTTCTCCCCCTTTTTTTGAAGGAAAATTGCGATCTAAACGCAGCGGAAAACAAAAATTTCCTTTAGTGATCCTTACGAATGAGCATGGTCAGTGATAGAATCGTTACCTCTTTGTGGCGATTCAGATCTTTGATGCAGCGATCACAAGCGTTGATGAAGTGCAACGCCTCTACTCAGTCCACACGAACAGCTTCCGGTCACAGTGCTAGCTGCTTACGAACGGAATTATTTGAGTGAGAAAAGAGAATCAAAAACGAAATTGCATCAAGTGAAAGCTTCATCACAAGGGTTCCTTTTATAGACTCTCTTGTGGACTGCGGGCTAAAAACCCAATTCACATGATCCATAATAATATAATATATTATTATAATAACTATTATTATAATAAATATATTTATTTTATTATTATTTTATAACCATTATAAAATAACAATAATTATTATTATATTATCCGAATTTCTATTTTTTTCACTTAAGTGCACCGTACCTTACGGTGTTCCTTTGATTTCTCTATCTCTCATCAAACTGTCCTTATGTGTGTGACCCTGTAGGATTTCGTAACATTGGTAATTATATTAAATTATATATTTAACATAATAAACAGTAAGCGGTATCTAGCAACACATCACTGCTACCCAAGTCACGAAAATGTCATGTGATTTGACAAAACCTTTTTCGTGATAATATATGTTTGTACAATTACCCTTTTGCCCCTATGTCTATATTGAACACAAGGCATACACTGTGTCATCCTTGTCCAGTTCAATATTGGGCCCTTAGACATTTCTCCTGTTATGCAGGATTGGCAAATTCCATCTAGGACACTCATGTCCCTCAGCATGCTTCGTGGAGTGCCCATCAACTGTCTTTATGATCATCCAGTTACGGATAATGTTTGATCAGCAATAAAGCACCCGACTCTACATCTAGGGTCCATAGTGGTTTCAGGTCGAAGGGTGGTAATACACCATTATCACCATGAGAATAACTTATGACACTTTGCATAACATACTATGTAGTATTCTCATAGCGGGTCAATCCGGTATAAATATTACTCCTAATATTTATACCTATGTCAAGACTTGATAACTCTTTATCCATGATCCATGAGATGTGATCATCAGTCTATCTTCATAATAGTCTCAATGCTTTTAATGTTATCCCACTTTGCAATAAAGCTTGACTACGGATATTTTAAGAATAATGTCTTTATGTTTAATGGGATCTCATGATTAAGTCACACTTAACATTTCATTAAACAGTTCAGATCTATATTTTCTCCCCCTTTTTTGTCATAAACAAAAAGTAAAAACTTTAAAAAGACAAATAAAAGGAAACAGTAAATGAGATAGTTTAGTGGAGAAAACTTTGATTCATTCAATGAGTTCAGATCAAGAGTACATGCATTAGAAGATATTTCAAAAAGTACATAAGCAAACATCAGATGCAAAAACATCAGAATGAAAAAATATGAAAATCTAAGAGTGTTTTGACAAAAGCATCTTCAACAGATTCGTAATCTCAGAGGAGGACTGCTCTTGCTTTGACATCCACTTAGCCATTGTTTCATTCTTCTGATCCTGTTTTGACATCCACTCTGTCATGTCTTCAGACTTTTTATCCTGTTTGGCCATCCAAGACTTGATCTCTGATTGACCAGCTTCCAGAGCATCAATTTTATCCTCAAAATCTGGATGTTCTTTCTTTATCCCTGATGATGAAGGTTGAACATTTTCTGGAGCTTGAACAGAGTCAATTTCCATAGGGTCTATAGAGTCTGGAGCATTAGAGCCAGAAGGAAGTTCTACCAGAGTCATGGCCAAAGGATTATCTTCAGATGCAGGTTCAGTAGTTTCTTCTGATGGAGGAGCATCTGTAAGATGTAAAGGTCCAGATCTCTTGACAATCCAGAACAGATTTCTTGCAGCTTCAGCAAATCTGAGCTTCACATCATCAGAACATATGTTCTTCAGATTTGAGGCTATAGTGTTGAATCTGTTGATAAATCCATTCCAGATGACATCAGATTCTTGGGCATCCATTGTTGCTGAACACTTCCTCTGTACAGTACCTAAATACAACTGTATTTCTTGCAAAAAAGATTGAAATAAATGATTAACATTAAGTCTAGGCTTGGGATGTAACAGAGTCTCCAATGTTATTGGTTTTGGTTGGGGAGTAGGTGGGAAAATGGATTTCTGAATGGAGATCAGAGGAGGAGGGTAGTATGGAATGAAAGGAATTTCAGGTTCAACAGGTTTGGATCTGTTTAAAGCATTTAACAGATTTGGTTTTGCTTTGGTGTGATAGGAAACCACATCAAAGGGTTTATTTGAGTAAGGTTGAAATGTAGATTTTGGAGGTTCATCATAAGCAACAATTTTATCAGATGCAACAGGTATAGCCGAAGTAACATTTTTTTGCAGATTTAGCAGAATATGATATTGTTGCTAATGAACCTACATCTGACATGGATTGAATATATGTGAGAAGCACAGATGGAAGGGTTATTGTGAGTTTGGGTTTCAGGGGAGTGATAGGGTCAGATGGTTCAACTATATCATAAAAATCTTTGAGTTTGAAACCATATGCAAGATTGTGAAATAGGGATGAGAATTGTGCACAAGAGATAGATAATCTTGGGTTAGATGTTGGGTTAGGATTTGGAATCAGGATTTCAGATGCTGGATTGGATGTGGGAGTAGGATCTGGAATAGGAGCTTTAGAAGATATAAAGGGTTCTGGTTGGTTTACCTCAGAGTCTCTGTGAGATGGAGAGATTAGAAAATATGGGTGAATGTCAGATTCTGAGGAGTTTGATGAGGTGGTTGGTGTGCAGGAGGTAGAGGATACTTGAAACACAGTTTTTAGTGGTGTGACATCAAGAACTTCTGTCTCAGGAATGTTGGGTTCAGAAGGATTGGTTGATTCTGAAGGAATTTCAGAAGGTTTTATG